TGCCATAATATATGTTTCTGAAAATTTTAGGGATTCTGTTGCATAAAAATGACTCCTATATGTAAACTGATTCATTTCCTGTCCAATAGTAGTCTTACTCTCTGCGACGATATGACTTTGAATGCTCCTTTCACATCTGGTGTGAAATGTGTACTTTTCTGTTCCTCTGTCGCACACAAGCGTACACACACACTCGCACAAAGCGGCCATCGCAGTGCGGACCGGCGACGGTGGCAGCAGTGGAGATCTGACACAAAAGACGCTCTATCACAGCGACCCGGTGGAGGCGAGGTGAGATCAGAGGGCGGCTACCTCCGGCGCCCAGGGCCCTCTGGAAAATCCGGGATGCGGCCCGGCACGAATCACCGAGCTCTGGAGCAGCTCCGCCCACCACCTTTAGCGCCGGCCCCCTGAGAGGATCAAACCAACCAGCACCCCGTCTCCCCCCACCCAGCCATCCCACTTCTGTTCCCCACCTTCATGGGTCAAAGGTCACAGAATCCTCCCTTACCGCCACCCGCACTTGCTCCACTTGCTTCGGGGCAGAGCACATTGTCTTCCCACTAGGATGCAGGTTTCCATGGCAACCTTTGAACTCTGTAGCAGGAGTCGGGGAGGGATAACAGCAGGGTTTGCTGGGTAAAAGAACTCTAGATTTGTGAATTGGCAGCTTCTCATCATATATATATATATATATATATATATAGATATAGATAGATAGATAGATAGATAGATAGATAGATAGATAGATAGATAGATAGAATACACGTCTAGATGGACACAGTTCTATAAAGACACACTTTGCTCCCTTGTGTGACAGATGACCTTATGGTCTGTGTCACTGAGCTGAAGCATCTGCCTCTGTTGGGAATAACAGTGTCTAAAATGACATGTTATGACGGAGAGCGGTCTAACACGCTCACACACACACAAAGGACTGCGGATTTCCATCCGTGTACATCTTGCCTATTGCATCCCTACATGTATGAGGTGACTGGAAACAAATACAAGGCTTGTGCTGAAGGTTCACAAACGTTTCTTTCCTTTTTTACTACGTTGTTAGATTCTCACGACTGCCGTATATATCTATAATCACTGCATGAAGTCGCAGAGAGTTGTTTTTACCGGATCATATAGGGGAAAATGACCAGACGTGGCTTCCTGATCCACTTTCACCTTGAAGCAACTCCTGCCGCCTCTAATCTTAAACCTTCTCGATGGCTCTTTGCCGACTGATTCCCAGCATGTTGGATGGTTTTCGTTTCTGAAGGACTTTGACCTCACCGCCCTGCTTAATTATGTCCTCTAAGACGTTCGTTTCCGAACTTTCCAGCCTTATTTCAAACCTGCCATATGAATGGTCATAGCAGTCAGTTGCTAAACAGAGGCTTAATTTATCTGGGGACAAAGTGCAATATTTTTTCAATCTAATTTCGCCACCAGAAATAATCTCACTCTGCAGGCAGTGACACCCCTTTGTGGTAGGCACTGCTCTAGGGGGACATTCGGGTATGACGAACTCTACAGGGTTTCTTCCCCTTTTACTGACCCACTTTTTCCAGCTGCTGGTAGTGATTTATTTTTTTGCTTTTCAGCTTTGTTTGTTTGTGACTTCTTCCTGTCCTTTACAGAAATAATGACACTAGAACCAAAAGGAGAAACAGGCCTCAGAACAATCTATGAAAATAAATGCAAATACGCGAGAAGCGGAACATTACGGCGGACCCGACGCTCACGAAACCAAGAAATGAACGAGAAAGCCAAACAGCACACATGAAACTAATGAGGATGCATAAGAAAAGCACAACACTGACACAAGGTCATGACAGGAATAATCCAAAAGAAAAACATTAATAATCAGGAGAAATGAATAAAGTATGAAACTAGACCAAAAATAACTAATAATTCAAACAGTTTTTGATGGAATTAGCTCTGAATGGATGGATTTGTAATATTTTTTGTCTACTTCCAAGTAAATTGAACTGATGAGCATTTGGGAGGGAAAAACCCCCCAAAATAAAATGTTTTTATTCTTATTCTTATTACTAGTTTTATTGTCAGGATTGTGTATCTTATATCTGTTTTGCTTTTGATGTTTTTGTTTGTTTGCATATGTCATCTTCTGTTGTCATGGCTCGACGTTTTCGCCGCTGCGTTTCGTCCAATTTGTGTTCATCACACCAGGAAGTGAAAGGTGCAATTTATTTCCCGCAGCCGTCTGTCCGTCTGTCCGTACGGGAGAGTGGAGGTTACTGGCGAAGCAATGATTGTTTCGTAATGAAGCTGAAAATGAAATCCCATTTACATTTTAGGCTCTCCCCGCGTCTCAAGACTCCATTGAGGGGGGCGGGAGAAGAAAAATCCTTACCTTGATGTATCCACTGAGAGGTGACTTATTTAAAGTGCTTGTGGCAGTGTGATTAGACTTGAACATATTTAACCTTTAAGTAAAAATGGGAGTGATTGGGGAGGGGAGGCTGCTGGGAGGAGAAAGGAGCCGCCGCCTCCGGCCGGATTAGCTGGCGGTTTGGGTCGGCCGGCGCCGGCTCCGCGTCCAGATAAACTTCCCTGCCTCACAGCTGCTGCTTGATACCGAGCCATCGTTTCCCTTTCTGTCTCTGAAACTCACGTCTTCAAATTTTAAGGACCTGGCTTATGAGATACAGAGCAAGAGAAAGAGAGAGAGAGAGAGGAAGAGAGCGGGGCCCCTGTATCCATGGCAACCCCAGCCAGGTGCGCTGGTTCATATGCAATTCAGGTAATTCAACACCACAATGAAAAGTAGCATGCATATAAGGTCAGTGGTATTCAAATGCGCCACGTGTTCCCGGCTCTGTGTTTGGATTTTTGCTTGCTCTCTTGACCTCCCGGCGCGGCCGTGTGACCTGACCTCTGCCACGGCGCCGCTCCCACCGTCCCCCAACGCCCCCTGCTTGACTGGCAGGTATGGCATTCCCTTTGACTGAGGTCTGCATCTAACAAACGTCGACGGAATCCTATTAATTCGCCGGGCGTCACTGCATCGACGCAGAGACGGTTCGCCCAACACGAGACGCGCGTGTCACATACATCATTTTAAAGATACATTTCTATGTAAAACTGCAAAAGAAGGGAGAGAGTGACGTGGAGGGCTGGATGTCGATGGGGGTGTTAGAGTTTTGCATTAAGCCGGGGGCTTTAACAGCTGGGTTTAAGGGGAGAGAAAAGGGATGAAGTCAGGTTCATGCTTCACGTTCCCATCCTCCTCCTTTCAGATTTCTCTTGATGTGTGTTTTTTTTTTTTTTTTTTCTGGGTTTTTGTCGCAGTGAATGTTTCAGGTCTGCAAATGAATGCGCGGCGTGCCAAACGAGCAGAGCTGCGTTCGGTGTCAAGTGCAGACTTGGTCACAGGAGCGGAAATGAGAGCAAAGCGGTGACCACAAAAACATGGCGGGATCTCCGTGCAAATATTTCCAAACTCGCGCCACCAAATTTTTGATTTTGGTTGCAAAATTCTGGAGTGGTTTAAGTTTTACGAATCAAACTTCTGACTTTTAGGTGTTTTTGTTGCTTTTCTTTGGAATTATCTTGTTCAAACTTAGAACAGTAGTCGATGGGTGTCTACAAAACACTTAATATTTTAATATAAGCAGAAACAATAGAAAAACAAATTATATTGCCCGTTTTAAAAAGCCTGCAGCTCTGCGCAGTGCTTCGATCAACCTTAACTGAGAGATTGGTGGTATTATCAGTCTTTTTATCATGATTTTTGCAATATATTTTTTTAAAATAATAAAGTTCTTTGTATATTTGTTGTATTAAATGACTCAGAGCAAGTCAAACTTACAACTTTTATACATTTCTGTTAATATGTGGGCTCAATAAATGAATACAGGACATGGATAAAAAACTTCAGTTTTCTTCAATGTATTCTCTATTTTAGCCACTACGACCAAACTGCAGCTGCATGCTCACGGAAAGGTGCAGTAGAGGATGCAGTCATTCATTTTTCTTGTGAGCTAATGCTCGAAATACGATTAAACTGAAAACATGCATAGAAGGTGCAACTGTGAACCTCCAGGTGCGACAATGCATTGACAAAAAGGGGAAGCTCTCCTCTGGTGCCGGGCTAATTATAGCTAGCTCAGGCCATCCTAGCTGGTGGTCATCATTACTGGAAATCAATGCACAATCAAGTTTCTGACATGCACTCTCGCAGTAGAAATGAAGGCAGCCTAGTGACGGATGTTGATCAGATTTGCTGTGAGCTCTCCATGATAACCAGGTGCTTTATTATCAGGGCTGGAAAGTTGCAGATTTTAAGATTTTACATCAAGCTATTTTTTTTCTTCTTTTTAACAGCAAGGTCAGATCAAGATTATTTTCACATTGATGGAGTGAATAAGCCAGGAGGAGAAGCTGAGCACATGCACAAGTGTTGCTGGTGTGTGTGTGTGTGTGTGTGTGAGTATGGGTGTGTGTGTGGGTGTGTGTGTGTGGGTGTGTGTACAGGGCGCCTGGAATGACCTCGCACATACAAATAATGGCCATAAATTGGACTGAAATCCCATTCCTATCCTCGCAGGATTTGGACCAGCTGTAGCTGCTTAGGACCAATTTCATTCCCGCAGACTGGCGAGAGTTAATGAGCGTAGGAAGCCCAAGCACGCACGCATGCATGCACGCGCGTGTTGCGGTTTATCACCCGATAAATAATTCAAATAACCTGCTAATACAAAGCCTGTCACGCATTTGAAGGATGACTCACGTGTTATTTGATCATATTAGGCGAGGATTAAAAGAACTCGACGCGACTGAAGCAAATAACGACAATAAGGAAAGATTTGCTGCCATCACATGGCCAATAATTGCAACTGCAGCTCGACGGTTTTTTTTTTTTTTTTTTTTTTTTTTTAAGTGTGTCAGTCCTCACTCCACTCCAGTAGATGGCAGTAGACGGAAGAATAAATAATAAATGTTTATTTTTTCCCGAGAGAAAACACGGAACGTTTAAAATTAAAACGTTTATATTTGCAGTTTCTTTGCATTGTTTTTAGTAAAGTTAGCAAGAAAAGGCTACATTCTCGGTCGTCCTCGCGTTACCAACCTCCACTCGGCGTTTTTCGTAACCGCTCGGCTTCACCCGCCGACCCTCGGAGCCTCTCGCCAGAGTTGATCCTTCGCTGTCGTCGTCCGCCTCGTCCTCCTCTCCGTGTTGTTGTTCTCGGTGACGCGACGGAGGTGTAGCCTGACGCGGTCTCTTACGTGTCGGTCTGAATAAAAGTGGAGCTCCGTAGACCCGGGAGTGACGAAGCGAGTCTGTGTTGGTAAGAGGACACGCGTCCGCTGTTTGCTAAACAGATAATATACATGGCTGCCCGCTGACGATATTTGTAGCCAAATTTCCGCACAGGGCCAACAAAGAGATCATGGCGGCGGCTGTTGCAGCGGCGGAGGCTCACAAAATGAGTCAGTCTCTGCAGGCTGAGACATAGGTATTAATGTGGGAGTGGGTTTTATTATTTAATTGAATAAAATGCACAGGAGTTAGTTTCTGAACCACATTGCTCTGCGGCGTTAACGTAGCTTTATTTTCAACCAGTAATGGCTTATGACGGATGAAATAAAGTAGTAAATGTGTCCTGTTGTAAAGAAGAAGAAAAGGAAAAAAAACTGGCATGCAGACATTTCCCTCCATGCAAGCTACTAGCTAGCAGCAAGCTTCTAGCTAGCAGCATGGCGGCTAACACGGCTTCGGGGAAAAGCTACATTGAAATGCAATGCAACTGCATTGCATTTCACTGAGATATATATTAACATTAAGGCTAAGTAGCATGAGTGCAAATGTATTATAAAAGAATTTCTGCTGCACTCATTCATTGCTGTGGCGTCAGCCACATAGCATGCTAACATTAGTAGCAATGCTATTCGTTTAGCTGCGGGGCTAAATCCCAAATGGCACGAGCGATTCGTCTTACTGCCGCCAACATAGACTGTAACAGTTATAACGCAACGCCAATGACGTCACTGTTATTTAGATTTTTTTTAAACGGGACGGGAGGGAAATATGTAATCGACACCCAGGAAATGACGTAGCAGTTTTGGAGAGGCTGAGAGCTGCTGAATTGTTCAGGTTTTGACTAGTCTGAAGTCATCTGTTTTACAGACGTTCTTTTATTTTTTCCTTGTAGTTTTGTGTTAATATTTCGACTTTTTCTTTTAAGTTTTCAGCACAAGATTTGTCCACCAGATGGCAGCACACTTATAAAAAAAGGCATCACTTTTCCGCTTGCCTTGTGACTTAAATATATTCTTATGCACATGAATAATGAATGCAGAATGTTGCAGCAAACCACTGGGCCAGCTTAGCGCTTCATAGGAGCAATGAAACAATAATAATAATAGCAAAATGCATTTAAATCAATTTTGAAAAAGTAGGTCTATGTTATCTGCCTTTAGAGTGGCTATAATCTGAAATGATGTTCATTTTAATATGATTTTAGGCTAAAGTGGAGAGTGAATACTTTCCCACAGTTCTGTAGGACCTGATGTCATGTTTCTGTTCGCTGCTGATTCTAGATGAAGATGGAAGCCGGTTCAGAGGTGCAGCAGAGCGGCGAAGCAGCAGTCTCTGAGTCCGAGGCGCAGCAGATAACCCTCACCCAGGTAATCCCCTCCTTTCCTCCCTCCCTCCGTCCATCATTTCCCACTTCCAGGCCACCGCGCGGGTTGGTTCGCTAAAGCCGAGCCGTCGGCGTGCTGATCTGCCTGCAGGCGCCCATCACAGCAGGCCACGTGACCTCCAGCAGCCCAGGCGTCACCATCGTGCAGCTCCCCAACGGTCAGACGGTGCAGGTGCACGGCGTGATCCAGGCGGCCCAGCCCTCCGTCATCCAGTCACCTCAGGTCCAGGCCGTTCAGGTACGCCGCTGACTCGCCTGGCCTTGCCGCGCCCACCCAGGCCTCTGCCACTCACAGCCCTGTGCTCTGCCAGATCTCCACCGTGGAGAGCGAGGACTCCCAGGAGTCTGTGGACAGCGTCACGGATTCCCAGAAGAGGAGAGAGATTCTGTCCAGACGGCCGTCCTACAGGTCAGAGAGCAGAGAAGAGGAAGATTTCTCCGATGTTTCAGCACCGACCCTTCATCATCTGCTCTGATCCTCCCAAACAGGAAGATTCTGAACGACCTGTCGTCCGACGCTCCCGCCGTGCCTCGCATCGAGGAGGAGAAATCTGAAGACGACTCCGGTCCAGCCATCACCACGGTTACCATGCCCACCCCCATCTATCAGACGAGCAGTGGGCAGTACAGTAAGTCTAATCGTGGGACGGTGGGCTTTGTGTGGGAGGGTTCAGCAGTGATCTGTGGAAGCTGAAGCAGCGGTTTCCTCTGCAGTCGCCATCACGCAGGGCGGGGCCATCCAGCTGGCCAGCAACGGCACCGACGGGGTCCAGGGCCTGCAGACCCTCACCATGGCCAACGCCGCCGCCTCGCAGCCCGGCACCACCATCCTGCAGTACGCCCAGACCAGCGACGGCCAGCAGATCCTCGTCCCCAGCAACCAGGTCGTCGTTCAAGGTGAAACCAAGGACACTCGCTCAACAACGCGACCGCGTTTCACTGCCTAGATCAGTCGTCACGGCGCTGCGCCACTTCCTGTTTGTCCTGAACCTATCCAGCATATCTGTCGGTTTCCTCCAATCAGCTGCTTCCGGCGACGTCCAGGCCTATCAGATCCGGACGGCTCCGACCAGCACCATCACGCCGGGTGTCGTCATGACAGCGTCTCCCGCGTTGGGAACAGGAGGAGGCACAGAGGAAGTCACACGGAAACGGGAAGTCCGGCTAATGAAAAACAGGTGCTGGTTTACCGTCCGGAAGTCAGATAGGAAAGTTTTATTTTCAAAGCAATTCGAAACTCAATTGGGTTGTGTGTGTGTGTGTGTGTGTGTGTGTGTGTGTGTGTGTGTGTGTGTGTGTGTGTGTGTGTGTGTGTGTGTGTGTGTGTGTGTGTGTCTCGCAGGGAGGCAGCCCGGGAGTGTCGCAGGAAGAAGAAGGAGTACGTGAAGTGTTTGGAGAACCGCGTGGCCGTACTGGAGAACCAGAACAAAACCCTCATCGAGGAGCTCAAAGCCCTCAAAGACTTGTACTGCCACAAATCAGAGTAGAGCGCCCCCTGTGTACAGAGACTCCGCTCAGAGCCGCACCTGGAAGCCACTCCTCCTTTTCTACGTTTCCTGCTTTCTTACGAAAAAAAAAAACCAAACAAACAAAAAAACTGCTGATAAATCTGACGGTGGGAATTACTGAGACATAAAACACACCTGTCCCTCTTTACGCATCACTTTTCCTTCACAAGAGGACAGTGAGCGTTTCAGAGCTCCTGGAAAGCATTCCAGTCACCTGGGCCCAATCAAGCTGGGCTGAATCACCAGCAAAGAGGAAGTGACATCAGCCACCTCCAGAAAGGCCGGTCGCTTGATAACTCAGAGGTTACGTTTCTATTCCTAACTTGCATTGATCTGTTACCTAATCACGCTATGAACTGTAGGTGGGTTGTTTTATCTCTCGTATTTTGTTTATTCCCAATTTATTTGCTTCTGTGATGCCATTTTTTTTCTATTATTATTTTATTTTTACATATGCCTTTTTAGGACAAACAGCTAAATATGAACTGTAAAATGCAGCTTTAAAAATACAGTATTGAACTTGGGAAACATTTGAGACACAATTTGTCTTTTTTTTTTGTTTGTTTGTTTTTCTAGAAGATAATAATATAGCTAAATCATTTTGATGATAGCGCAATGGTTTTTCTAGTTTTTCTTTTTATGTTAAAAGTGAATTTAAAAAACTCATGAACATTTTTTTTTTTTTTTTTACAATAACCTTTTGCAGTAAAAATGAATATCTGCATATAGTTAAGTCAAAAGTACACCTGTAAATCAGTTTTCTTTTTTTTTTCTTATTAAGACATAACTGGCGGTTGTTGTTTTTTTATCAGGTTCAAAAGTTATTTAAATCTAACCTCATTTGAAAAACCCACAATTTAATGCAGAAAACTGGAGAAACGATGTGGAAAACTGAACCATAACCCAATGACAGGTCACCTGGCCTGTCACAGGCCCACAGAATCACCCCGCCACCACCGTGCCGAACAGCTGGTGTACTTAGCTTTTAACTCGACTTTTGAAATATGGCCACAGCTTTGATAAATGACATGTTTTAAATCTATGACTCTTCGGGCCAGTCTAAGAGAATGCTTTTTTTAATTACAAGAATGAACTAAAAGTATGAGAATAGAGACAATTCATCAAATTCCAAGAAAAATTATTTTAGTTAAGATCTGATGGTTTTTTTCTCTCCCTCTCTTCAACATAGACGCTTCATAATACTTTTATGCTGTTCTAATGATGTAACTCCTTATTTGTTAAAAAGATACCAAAGTATGACTTCACAAAGTGCTCAACATTCCTCATTTTAATACATTTCATGTAGTTCTCAAATTTGCCTCCTAATATGACTACCATCTTTATTCTCATATTTTCTTTCTTGTAATTAAAGTTTTTGACTTATTCTGGTCTTAATCTGTATAAATACTATTAGAACCTTGTAAAAAAAAAAGACAAAAAAAAGCATACCTGAAGATTTAGAGGGTGTACTTTCTATTCATTGTAATTTTATTTGTAAGCTCACTGGATGAATGGATTGCTTGTTTTATAATGTACAATATGCCTGGTTCCATATCTGGACAGTTTGGGAGGGATGTGCAGTTCCATTTTATCCTCAACAGGAACTTTTTTAATATATATAAAGACCCTGCCTACATCTTCCCCCCCCTCATCTCACCCGAGGATTCCCAAGACGACAAAGCAGTGTGTGCACTTTCCTTGCTTTTACAATCCTGAGACGTTTAAAAAAAAAATCCATTGATAAATTCTGAAAGGCTCGGCGCCAACTGCTCCCTGTTGGGTGTAAGACGTGATTTGGTCCAAATTTCACGAAGCCCCGAAAAACGTAAAGTGAGACCAAATCGGAACAAAGCTGTTATTTTCATAAAACAAAATGCCATATTGTACTCTTTATGTATGGTCATAAATTGGTATGTATTTTTTTTATGTTGCTTTATAATTTTTTTATTCATATTTTCAAAATGTCAACAGTAACATGTATAACAATGCATTTATGTTAGAGCCATATAAATGAGAGTTTTGGCAGCTGAAAATAAATGTGTTGTTGCGCTTTTCTTCTATTTTATAAAAAAAAAAAAATCTCAAACCCTTTCGGATTGCTTTGTAAAACATAAATCTGACTTGTCATAAATCCCTTCTTGGGAGCCTGGACGCCCGGTACAGACGGATGTCCCTGTCTTTGTCGTAGTGGACCTCCTCCACGGTGAAGCCGCGCCGCAGCATGCTCAGGAAGCGCGCGTCCCGTTCGTAGCGGATCTTGCAGGCCAGCAGAACGACGGTGCTGTCCGAGCACAAGTGCTCCAGGGTCTGCAGCAGGGAGGGAAAGGTCTCCTCCAGGTAGACGATGTCCGCTCCCAGGACCAAGTCGAACCCTCCTTCGGGGTAACGCTCCAGGCCCTGACCCCAGGTCAGCTCCGAGACCACCACCAAGTCGCCGGCCGGCGGGGGGAGGTTGGCCGCAACGTTGGCGGACAGGAACTCCAGGGCGGGCTTCCTGTCTGTGATGGTCACATGAGCACCTGGCAGGTAAAAAATTGATCTTTTATGAATTATTGTTCAGTATTTTATTAATTTTTTATTTTTGCTGTAGTCAGCATTAGACAAATTCTTAAATATCTTCATTTTCCAAAACATGAATGCCTCCACAACCCCTAAAGCAATTACCTTGTATCTATATGCCAATATATAGATATAGATATCTGCTAATGTAAAGTGCTAAATATCGGCTCGGGTGCTGGCCTTGGAAAACATCACTCAGTCAGCTGTGACCTCACCCAGCAGAGCTGCCACAATCCCCACCAGTCCAGTCCCAGCTCCCAGTTCAACGACCTTCTTCCCCTTCAGCTCCACTGCTCCCATCTCCAGATACATGCACATAACAACCGCCTGGCAAAAAAAAAAAACGATGCATATATCATTACGGATTTCCCCCAATGGATTTGCGGCAAAAGTGAGTCACTTACGGCATCCCAGACCACTGCAGCCACCCCCAGCCTCCTCCAGTCCTGAGCCAGGCGGAGCTCCTGGTTCGCAAAGCGGAACTGTGCCGAGGCGTTGTGGAGTTTGGAGAATGCGGGGAGCGGGTTCGCCTGATAAGGAACGAGAGCCATGCTTCAAACGCATAACACGACCGGGGGGAGAACTCTTCTTCTCGCATCTTGACGGCGCACTGACTCAGCAGTGCCATCTTCTGTGGCGTTTCAACATCAGCGCCGCTCCGCTTTCAGGTGTAAATTTGTTTGGTTCGACTCGTGCTTCAAGTTACCAGTCCACCACAAATGCGGACTTCGGTTCACACCGAACATGTGTGATAATAAAATGTCTCTTGTTAGATTAAACATATACACACACGGCAAAAAGCGCTCAGAGTCGAGTCCCCTCAATGAACGAGTCGACCAATCACGTTGCACCTTAAATAATATAACCCAATGAGCGAGCGTGTTTTTCTGAAGGCCATGCGAGAGGCGTGGTCTTTTCGTTAAATCAATGGTGAAACAGTTAGCTTTGAAACGTCATCGCTTCCGGTTCGTTGGCGCTAGGAATTCAGAATAAAAGCATAGTAGTGAAATTGATTCAAGATGAGCTGAATACAGACGTTGAAATTTCGTCAGGCAGCAGGTTTAACCAAATTTCGTGCTAAATATTGATTAAAAATGTGATTTTAATTCTGACCGCCCCACTTTGTCCTCACTGCTGTCGTCAAATGTATGATAACCAGCTGCGTCGAACACGTCCGGGCAACACGGCATTTTATTTTGAAATCCAAAACTCGGAAGCTGCCTCTGCGCGCAGCCGCTGCGCTGCCACCGCCTGTGACGTAGAGGACGCGTTCTCCTGCCGATGCGACGAGATGAACGTTCTCTGCGTTGTCAGTCGGCGCTTGCTTCTCGCGCTCCCGGCTCCGTTCGGAGGCTTTTCCAGCTGCTGAGTCCGTGTTCTGCTGCGGGTGCGTCAGCCCCGGGACCGAGGCCGGTCCTTGCGGGCTGCAGCGGACATGGATTGATCCATTACTCCTCGGAAGGGGGGGCGGGGGAAAAGCAGCCGAGCCTGGGTCGAACCGAGCGTTTAGCCGGACAGCCATGGAGGCAGATAGACGAGCCTGGGACTCCGCTTTGTTCAATCAGATTGGGTTGTAAATAGTTGCTATTGGGAGAACTAGTGGCTTCATCCATGCAAAAACTGGGAAAAGCGTCCAGACGCCCTGAATATGTCAGCCGTCTGTGCAGAAACCTCAGTGGTTCCATGCAGCCCCTTCTGCAGCTAGAGAGGAACATTTTCACTAATCTGAATGTTGAAACTGATATAAAACCCATCTAAAGGTGTTATGTGTTTTTAAGTGCCCCCACTCCCCCCATTCCTTCCTAAAAGGTCTAGATTGAACTTTGACCCCTGGAGTGCAGCATTGTCAACAGGAGGCCCAAGCTTTAGTTATATGGGAACCAGCTCTGGCTGCAGCAGGACAGCTGTAGGTCGGCAATGGGAGGCTCCGTGTCCTGCTGCTTCTCTCCGGGAGAGAGTCCAAAACTCCACCGGAGACGCGTGGACCTGGACGAGTGTCCCATCACCACCACAGAGGACGTGAGCGAGGACACGGGCACCTACCTGCAGCACATCAGCGACAGGGAGCTCCCAGACGGTCGGTTTGGCTCGTGGGCAGGAGAATGCCTTCTGATGTCGACGTGACGCCATTTGGTTCAATGAAATGTTTCCTTTGCAAACAGAGCTGGCCCAGGAGGCGAACCCATCGGACCACCCCAGAGCCAGCACCCTCTTCCTCAATAAGTCCCAGACGGATGGTCGGTATGCCTCTCCGTATTGTGCTTAGTTGTCATTTACTTGCCTCTCTGACTCATTTTGTCTCATTCCAGTGCGGGAGAAAAGGAAAAGCAACTACATGAACCACGTAAGTTCATCAGTTTGACCTTCGGAACCCGAGGCTGAATTTTACTCTCATCACCAGATCGCCTGACCCGACGATCCAGATTTTTGTCCGTCGTCGATTTTTTTTTATTTTTTTTATTGTGTATTTCTTTTTCTGATAAATGACTAAATATAGCGACAAAGTCTCAAAGTTGTCGATGCTGATTGTTGTGAACGTTCCAGATGTCTCCGGGACTCCTGACGAAAAAGTACAGTTCTTGTTCAACGATATTCATTGACGACAGCACAGTGAGCCAGCCAAACCTTAAGAGCACCATCAGATGGTGAGCATCCTCCCGGCCATTTCGGGTCAAAAGGTCACTAAGAAATGCAGAGATGTGACGGAAGCTTTTTTTTTCCTTCCTCATGTTTTGTTTTTTTGTATGAATTCTGTCTTTTCCAGTGTTGCTTTGGCCATATACTATCACATCAAAAACAGGTAGGAAAAGTTTGGAATGTTCTCGTGTATTCCTCTCTTTTGCAAAGCAGCCAATCTAGGAGCACCATTTATTTAGCTTGGTGCTGATTTGCTAGGGATAGGGGGGTAACTGCCACATGTACAGGGTGTTTCAATACGGCGTTTCTTTGTTTGTCCCATTTTCAAAGACATCTCTTGTTTCTGCAGAGATTCCAACCGCTCTCTGGATATATTTGATGAGAAGAAGCACCCTCTGTCGGTGAGTCTCCGACCAAAACGTCGGGTCACTTGTTCAGTGGGGTCTGATGAAACCGAGTCTCCCTCCTAACAGAGAGAAAAGGTTCCAGATGATTATTCTGTGGTGGATCCCGAACACAAACTCATCTACCGCTTCATCAGGACGCTCTTCAGCTCGGCGCAGCTCACTGCCGAGTGCGCCATCGTTACTCTGGTAAGCACATACGTCTTTTGTGTTTCTGTATGTAAAATGGAAGGCTTCTCAGTTTGGGACGGTGGTATTCCCATTTGGATGATTCGTCTCCTCTCAGGTGTACCTCGAAAGGCTTTTGACATATGCAGAGATAGACATTTGCCCCTCCAACTGGAAGCGCATCGTGCTCGGCGCCATCTTGCTCGCGTCCAAAGTCTGGGACGACCAGGCCGTCTGGAACGTCGATTATTGCCAGATCCTGAAGGACATTACAGTGGAGGACATGTGAGTGCTGCCCCTCAACTGGCTTTCTCTTGAGACGGACAATAGCTTTGATGCAACTGATGAGATTTTTGCGTTGGTCAGGAATGAGATGGAGCGCCACTTCTTGGAGCTGCTGCAGTTTAACATCAACGTTCCGGCTAGTGTCTACGCCAAGTATTACTTTGACCTGCGCTCTCTGGCCGATGACAACAACCTCAGCTTCCCTCTGGAGCCACTCAGCAACAAGCGAGCCCAGAAACTGGAGGTACGAAAAGTTTTTTGTTGCGCCTTTTGGCCTTGTTTTCGGGCACTAAACGTTTTGTGCTTGCGCTTTCTGTAGGCCATATCCAGGCTGTGTGAAGACAAGTACAAGGACTTGAGCAAATCTGCCATGAGGAGGTCAATGAGTGCGGATAATATGATCGGGATCAAGAACTCTCAGGCCGTGCTTTCCTGAATCGGTCGATCGCCGATCTTCCCAACTGGACGGGACTACTAAGAAACGATTTTAGAGAAGGCAGACATCCTCGAGGGATGAATTGTTCATTTTAGAGGCTAAATATACAACACTATAACATTATTAACCATGTCGTTGTGTTAACTAAAAAACAAACAAACCAAAAAAAATCTTCAGTGATTTTCTTTTCAAAGCATGATGATTTGGTGACGTATATTGAAGGAGAACAGCATAAACGCTTCCTAAAGTCGCACAAGTTTCTTTGTATCTCTCCTTTAAAAAAAAAAAATATATATATATATATATATATATATATATATATATATATATATATATATATATATATATATATATCATGTAATGGGGAGCAATATCCAGCTGCTGCCATCATGTCCCCGGCGGTATTTACGCGACGGAAACTGTCACGGACTACCCTGTGGCGTAGTTCTGCACACGGACAACAAGACGTTCTGCTTACTGTGTAGGCTCCTATAGCTGTGAAATGTACCAGACTTTATTTAATTCAAATAAATTTCACTCGCTGTTTCGAGTTAGGTGGAAAAAAGTGTGTTCAGGTGTTTTTCTTTTTTTCTTAATATTCGCTGAAAGAAGAACAACGATAATGGATTGTGCATATGCTGTGAAATTACTTTTACTTTAATAAGTGCATAAATTCTACACTGTATAAAGTTTGGATTTTTTAGGTATATGTATCTTTTTTAAGCTTGTGTGTCAATCTGGTCCAGATGGTTCCTGAAGTGCATTTCAACAAGCCAGGTGATGTTGTAGTACATCGGATCAGCCACAGGGGGCCAGTGTTGCTCTGCAAAACCAGCTGACCTGACTGCAGGCAGGAGATAAGTCCATGTGTTAATGCGACATCTTTCTGACTCTGAGATGTGGTGCAGCTTGCTTATATCATCACTGCACTCGCTTTGCAAAAAGACAAAACTCAAGATGTCGCCGAGGAGGCTCGCTTTCTGACTTGACGTGAATGGCAAATGTCATAGAACTGAAAGGACGTGGAGGGAGTGGGGGAAGAAAACCCTTTCTCTGATGTAAAATTGCTGGAGTGAGGTAGATGAAAGCTATGATCATCTAGAATGAATAGTCCTTGTATGGCTGTGACTGTGTGTCCTGTAGGGATCGCAGGGCCACAGCGGCTTCATTAATCTCCTCTCATCGTGGGACTTGTCTGAACTCTAAAAAGAGGGCCGGGGAGAACAAGAATGACCCCCCTCCATCTCCGAGGGACTCTCGCCGTTTACCCTCCACACACTCGGGTCACTCCTGACATCACACTCTGCTCGGCTTCACAATGTCAGACTCGCTGCTGCTGATCTGGCACAGAGCGAGTGTGATGTACCGCTGGCGCTGGTTTTCAGGCCTTTTACAGTTTGAGTGAGGCTAAACTGACTCTATTGCGTCGCTTCTATAAATTGGCAAAGGCAGAGATATGGGAAAAACTGCAATGTGAATATTGCTTCTCCTTCTGGAATCTTGAGGGAAGAGACTTTATAGACAATTCATAAAATAATCTTCAGACGCAGAAAGTTAGTGTTGACGTTGCTTGGAAAGTTACTTTTTTGCAAACGATGTTATGTTTGCTTCTTTAAAGGGGACAGATAATGTTCTTTTTTTCTTCTTTTTTTTAGCCCTTAAATACATTTTTGTGTGCTAGGAGTGGAATTTATGAAAAATATTTTCCCTCCCTCTCCACTAGGGGCGAGTTCTTTCCTCCAGGTGCTGCGTCGATGTCTTTATGTTCTTCTTCTTCTTTTTCAATATGGCGGCTCGCTAGCAACTTTCAGGGGCTTACCGGCGCCACCTACTGTACATGATTTTGCGGTAACACCACATCCATTAAATTCCATTACTTTTATTTTGTCGCAATAAATAACTCTTTTTTTAGGGTTATGTTTTTCAGTCTGATAATTTTCCTCTACTCCCTAGGCTGTGACGTTACCGCAGTGGAACATGACTCCCGGCTAACGAGTTTTGCGTGTCCGCCATTTTTGTCTTCCTCGCAGTAATTTTTCTCGTTCAAGTTCAGCTGGGCGGAAGTTGAGGAAAGTCCACTGGAGCTTTACGTTCATGTCTTCAGCAACCAGCACCATTTTTCTGGAAGACTTCCTCTGGTCGAGGGCCGGTTCCTTTTCTCTAGGGAGTCACAGCAAAGCGGTAAGCTAACAAGGCTAACATGACAGCGAAGCTCCTTCATTTTGTGTGCTGATAATGAAAATTGTGAACTTGTGCGAGTCAGTAAGCAAAGTTTTTTTACCTCTTAAAGTTGCAGTATGCCCAAATCTATATCTAGTCTAAATTTAACGTTTCTCTGAGAAAAATATGAAATATGTTTTTTCTTTTGCTTTCTGATCCAAACTTCCTCTGAGTAATGGCGATGCTTCCGGTTCTCCTCTGTCCACTGCTGAGACGGCTTCTGATGGTTCACTTCTTCCTCCAATGAGCGCAACGTACAGTTTAAATCCAGCTTTTGGCGCTGGACAAAAAGGACAACCACCACAACAGTCATTAGCCGGCCAGATCCACAGAAAGGCTAAACGGCCCGGGTCTGCACTGGAGCGAAAGGGAAGGTGAGGACACCGTGTGATTTCTCTTGTTTTTACGACAAGGAATCATAGAGTCGCTGAGATGTGGCAGGAGTCTGAACTCTTGCGATGTCACACGTGACTGCACTGCAGTGCTGTGCTGGCTGCTGAGAGTAAACAGTTCGTTTTACAACTGCTTGGTCATCACAAAACCCACTAATCTATAGACATGCTTTCATGCGCACAGCAAATAAGAAATGTTGGCTGGGCTGTTTTGCTTTATATATTGCCGTAAAGACAGAATCCCCCCGGTGCATGACCCTCTAGAGCAAACTCCAGTTGGTGTCCTGCAACATTTAGATGTGGCTCTGCTGCATCACACCTGAATAAAATAATTAGTTCATTAGCAAGGATTTTAATCTACACAAGGAGGAGGTATTTAAGCCATTTCATTCCAGGGTTTTGTACCTGTAAAAACTGCAGGACAGCAACCCTTAAGGACTGGAGTTTGACACCTGTGCTCTAGAGCATGCAGTGTCACAGTTTGGTTTTCACTTTGCTGAATCTCTATGAGGGTCAAGTCAAAGTGGGCAGAATTCATAAAGAGGCCCATATTCCCTCCAGAGCTGGGTTTAATGATCCCCTGTGTGCTGGGATAAGCAGGTGCATTACAGTTTTGATGACCTGCTGAGCTGTTTTCTAGTGCTCATTTCTGCATAGTTCTCCTGGATTCATTTTTTTTTAAGTGTGTAAAGGGAGAAACTTCAGATTTTATTGTTTGGTGCGATTCTACCAGCGTGCCACAGCTTACAATGGCCTCCAAAGTTAGATTTGGAGGACAAACTCAGCATCTCATTCTGATGCTGAGTTTGAATTTTGGCAATTTGCCTTCACCAAATCTAGGTACATAGAGCCATAGGGTCTCTGCCATGTAATAAGCTCATGAGCTGCTTCCGTAAAGGAGCAATTGATCAGGGGTGCGTGGATCTTTATGAGACCTCAACGCTCCGTCGAGAAGTCTCGTCGTTCACGTCCGCCTCTAGTCGTTTTGTTCCACTCCCACTTGCTCCCCTTTCATTCTGTATAATCCTCTTTTGTGTGACTCTTTTAAACACTCTGCTTGTTTACTGTAACAATCGGACCTGCATCCATGCCATTCTCAGAGGAAACAGCCAGATACTTTCATTTACGAATGCCTGTCATGAAAGAGGCTAAATGTGCAGGTTGTCGTTTCCTGATATTGACGATGGTGAAGAGTTTTCGCTGTGGCCTGTGTGTACACTTGTGCATCTCTGCAGCCTAAGTAACAGCTAACAGGATTAGACATGGCTTACATAAACGTCTCCCATGGCAACAGTGCACAGGCACCAGGAAAAGACGAATTCGTTACCGGAAAGTGTCACGCTCACGTTTGGTCCGCTGACTGACGGTCGGTTTTCACACATCTGGAAATTTCCTTTGCATTTATCCCATAAGCAAAACGAATGTTATAAATATATGTTGTTGATGCACAAACTGGATGGAAAAGAGCGTGAATGTGTTCCTCCCAGCTCTGTGTGCAGCTTGTCTCTGCCTGCTTGTGTACACCAGTGTGTTGTGACAGTCTGACAGTGCAGCCTCAGGTTCTGTCCCATTGGATAAACCAAGCGGTTAGTACGCTTCATTTACTAGAATTCCCTCAGGGAAGATGCATCGCTCACTGACTCTCCTAGACTCAGACTATGAAGGACAATCTCTTCCCTCTTTCTTTTGATCACTTTCACTGTGATCAAAGTCCCTGCTACTTTCTTTAAATGACAAAGTCTTCATTCATGCCCTTTAATATTTGGCAGTATCGCTTTTTAAATTTTCAGGCTTGGGTCAAAAACTTAAATACAAAATCTTTTCTATTTAAATTGTTTAATAATTTATTTATTTATTTGTCAAATTCAATGCTCAATTCAGATTTTTATCCCCTGAAATGACATTGTTGTTCATACTACTAAAGTGTGGCCGCAAACAACAATATGACTTCCTCCTTTCTCTTCCACCTTAACAATTTCGCTATTCTTTCATTTTAGTTCCATCAAACCACCATGTGGTCTTCAAGTATTAAAAGTGGGAGACAGCTCTTCTCTTGTCTGGTTCTCAAACTCCTTTAGAAAGAGAAATTAATATGTGCATCACCGACTCTATATATGGAAAAAAATGTTCATATTAAGATGGTATCTATCTGGTGAACTAGTTGTGCTTCTAGGGAAATCTAAAATCATTTTCACTGAGAGATTGTGAGGAAGTGTCTTGAGCGAAAGAACATGCACACTGAAAATGGAGATCAAACCTTTTTTTTCCCTAAGAAGCAATCAACCAAACACCAAATAAGTTCTTTATTTTTATCTTCAGTTCTTTAGTAAACACTTTAAAGAGCTCTCTACCGGTTCTCACAGAATCTTAAATACCAGCTTTTTGATTAGCCAGAAGAAAATCAGTGCTGGCCAATGTTCTCTGCTTCTCTGGCTTTATGGGCATTTCCTCTAATCTTTATCTCCAGCACTGCAAATTGCCCCTTATACCGATATCACTCTGCTGAGTCTTTCTTTACAGATGAACTGCATTGCGCTGATCTGTCACTTTGTCTCACAGTATAACAGAGTCTCTGCAGCCAGTATTCAAATACAAGGCTGTGATCGGTGATAAATGTGTATAATTACACAGAGTAAAAGCCTGTGGTCTTCCTATTGATTTCTTTGCTCAT